TGCAATGCTGGGACAGAAGGGGAACAAAGGTTACCATACAGAGTGGTTTGTGTATCACTTCTAGGAATGGCTGCAGTTTCTCCCTTACAGCTAGAGCCCTAGACACAAGGAACAGACCATGCAGCTGCCTCTAAGGCGTAAGTCTTCTCAAAGGGGTTTCTTTCTTAATGCACAGGAAACTATATTTTCACTTAACGACAAAGAAAAAAGGGGGTCCCCGATCTCAGGCACCTGTGAAGATGATAATCATGCCAGAGACACCTCTCACTTCTCTATTACAGTAAGCTAGTGTCATGTGATCTACAGACATGGAAAGACGAAGCAGCGCACGGAGCATGACAGGGGGTGCGCTGTAACGTGGCCACTGCCCAAAGACGAAGCAGGACTTTATCAGAGCCACGTGGCTGCCACGTTCCCTGCAGACTCGACCGACTCAACAGCGCCTTCAATGCCAATGATAAGTGGCCTTTGAGAGCTCAGCTGTGCTTCTCTTCGAGGCTGTTGCTAACTGGTTCTTAGGCTGTACCAGCAGAGGCCTGCCGTGTCCACTGTCAGCCTCTGCCTTTGCGTGCAGCCCTATCCAAATGGTCAGAAGAACCACCAGACAGGAAGCACTGGCAAAATGCGGAAGGCCAAACTGCAGAAGGCAACGGTGCTCACTTGTCACAGAGAGGCTCCGCGCGCTTGCTTTGCTTCCCTTCCTTTCAGCGTCTGTGTTCTGATGCTGGAACCGTTCTGCAAGCTGAATGATAAACATTCTTCCCCGGTCCAGCGAGACATAACTACTTCAACCAGAACCCTGGCACATATTCTCCTCATCCCCCAAACTGGGTGTACAAAGAGTTATGCACCTTTGAATGTCCAGGAAATGATGCCTCAGAAGGGGGGAGGGGCTATATTTGCTAATGTTTCACACAACTATGACTTTCCACATGAAGTTGTCCCATGGAACCCAAAAAGTCATTTCCTACATGCATGTGCACCTTTCTGTACCAGAAGCAGGGAGTGGGGGCATGAATTCATAACCCAGTCAAGAGAACGTTTAGTATAATTGAGTACAGTTACCAATGGCTTACAATTATTTAATTAGTCTTAAAACCATTGCCCTGATGATAGCCCCCAAAAAAAAAAAAAAAAAAAAAAAAAAAAAAAACCCTGCTGAGTGACAGTGTGCTGAAGAACTAGAATGGTGGATAAAGCCTGTATGAGTTGTGTTCCTAATTTGGACACCAGTCTCTCAAATACATCTGGTCTCCACCGGCCATGCAGAAAACAAATACCAAGGATGGGAGTGGGGCCATTAATCAATATTCAGAAATGTAAATTAATAATTTTTCTGATTAAATTAACACATGGGCTGGGGAATGTCTTCTCAGAGAACTGTGCAGCTGGAAACGGTTTTGGTAACAATCTGTGCTCAGTTCCCTTGGTGTGCAGATGCGGTACAGGAAAGCAGTGTGCCTGTGAGCACAGTCTGTAACGTGGAAGAGCACACACGGAAGTCCCAGATACCTGGAGTATAGGCCAGCGACCCCCTTCGCACACCACGTGTGTACGTATATACCGCACAGCAGTCTACCTGAACTGACAAACTGCTGGGCTGAACCACTACTGAGTTAGGACTGGGGCCTGTCGGAACTATCCCTTGGCTCTTCACCAGTAAACCCCCAGATGAGAGAACAATTCTGTGCCCAGCTGCCAAATGAAGCCCAGAACTGCCCACTGAAGAGAGCCAACATGCGCTCTTTATGTGTCTAACATCCATACATTCATTCTGGGTTTAAGAGGGGTAGAGGATACTGAGGGAAAAGGGGGGGCTGGGCTGATGTTTATATGTGACAGGTAGCAGCTGTCTTATCACACATGTTCAACGTACTGTTTGCTCGCGTCCTTGCAGGGATAACATTTGAGTAACTTCCAAACAACCAAAACCTCAAGGCTTAGCATGTACACAGGAAGAGAAATGAAATGCCTCATTGCTTTTTCAGCTTCAACTCTGGAGAGCACTTCATACTTTTTGGAACACTTTGTCCACATACACAATCTTCATACAGGGTCTTCTTTGACGTCATTCAGAACCTTTATCTAACACTCAGGTAATGGGTTACACCCTCTTAATCCAAGGCAATGTTTGAGTCTCAGGATTACTGTGGTTTATTTCTTGTAAATACACACCAATCCATGTACCTGTTCCATTTGGTCAATTAGGAATCTAAGACCTCTGAGCTGTCTAATTCCTGCTGCATGAAGAAAATCAAGTAAAGTGCAAAGGAGTGCCTCTGAGGGGCATTTCTAGCAATACAGAAAAGGTGCTGTCTGCAGCATCACCAAGCCAAGAGCATATAGCTTCAGGGGCAACCTTTTAGGACAGGTTTACCCTAAAACTTCATGCCCTCATAGGGGTAAAAACACCTGTCTCCTCCTCAACTCTGTCAACTGTGCTCATGAAGCTTGCAAGATATGTGCAGGCACACAATCAAACACACACACTCATTCACAAGGGTGCATGGTATGGACACTGTAGCAAAACTGAAAGCAGACTCTACCACCTCTTGCTGTGCACTACCGGTAAATTACTTAGACTCCCTGAGTCTCTGTGCTCTCATCTAAACAAAGGATTTGTAAATACTTCCCATGTGATAGGGTGAGGTTTCAGTGAGTATCATAAAATGCCCAATTCAGTGCCAGGTCCATGAAAGGCACTGAACAAATGACAGGGATGCTTCTTTACCAGATAAAGATCTATTGCCTGCAGTTTAAACATAACCATAAGATGTACCAAGGGAACCATACAGTGGAAACTTAAGCAGATGAGATCCATGTGCAGTTTCACCGGGAAACTTGTTAGATAAGAGAATTCCCACTTATCTACCTGTTCCAAAAATCACAATGAGCCAGGCTGCATTCTTCCACAATAGAAACCCAGCACCAACACCTGTATTAGCATCATTTCCTAAGAGTCCACACAGCACTATGTGAAACACCAGTGAGCCAAAGTTCTGCTTCAGACAAACAGAATAGGCCTCACCGTGCTGATTCTTATTTGACCTCTCAATATTCAACAAGATCCTGAAGCTGGGAAACAGGGCTTCTGTGTTCCAAGAAGGGGACAGCTGTAAGCAGAACATCCCAGGGACTTAGGGGAGATGAGTCTTCCTTGGTACCCGGTCAAGGAGGCAATAGGCATAATTTTCCCTTCAGTTAGAAAATGGTAGATGGTTTCTGGAAGTCTCCACTTGTGCTGTGATCCTTTCTTAAATAGGTTCTGTGAGTTAGTTTTAGAAAATTCCATGAAATCCCCAAAAGGTGGTACTGAATCTAGAAGACACATAGCCAGCAGTGTCCTCATGTTATAGGATCCAAATGCCTAATTAAGCGCAGGGTCCCTAGCTGAACCAACATGCCAGCCAAATATGATTAAAGCTGAGGCATACACAGGTGAGATGAAAGTCTCGATTGAAATTCCCCTCCTGATAAAAATCCATTTCAAAACCAACCTCCCCAAACTACAATACACCCTTTCCTGCAGTAGTCCTTCACTGAACATTGTAACTGGATAAACAGTCATAGCTATCACACGTTGATCGTTGCTTGCCTTGACACAATGATAGGGCAGTTAGCATTTCAGTAAATAACAGGTGTGAGATGAACAGGCAAGGAGGGGTCATGTTCCCATAATAAAGGCATAACAAAATATAGGCATAAAATAAAATTGATAAAGGCAGTATAAAACCTAGGAATGAAATGAAATCTTTTTAAATATTCCTTTTTTGATATTGTTTTTTTTAATGGCATTAATGGCACTTAAGCTGCAAACTACTTAAACCATTTCAATCTTACTATACAAGGATTGAGTGAGAGATTCATTTTTCTTTTGTATGAAATAGCAAGATTGAGTCTCATAGCTATGTGTAAGACACCCAAAAGGACAAAAAGCCCTGAGATGGAAAGATGCCATGGTCCTCATTGGTGTGTCTCACAAACGCAAGATGTCTATGTTTATTTTTATTTAAAAAAAAATTAAGATCAGCTAGACAGAACAGCAAGCCACTGGCATCATGCAAAGGCAATAATTTTGGTATTTCCTCCCTCCTATCAAAACAAGTTATAATTAAAGTTCCCATAGAAAAGTGAGTATGAATGTTCCAAAATCAGCTTATTTTTACCTCACACCCACTGAAGAAAATGCATGATTTGCCTTCCAACCAGGTAGGTGGCTGAGGTGGTGTATTCACCAATGCTTGCAAGCCTACCTGGACTACCTATCCCATGAAAAGGACAAAGGTCAGTAGGCTGTCATTGGCTAAGGATATAGCCACAGTGGGATGCGTCTGTGAGTTGTTTTTTTTTTTTTTATGAGAAAAGCAATTGCACCTTATAAAACGTGTGCTCTGATCAGTTTCCAACAAATTCCAGGTACTCTTGGGTCCCAAGGACATTCATTTTGGAGTAGGTGTTTTACACTGTGGCCTGTCAAAATTCAAGCTCAGAGGACATGCCAAAATGTCCACTGAAAACCTTACTAGAGTCACCAGGCCTCCCACAGACAGCTGCCCCTTCTGTGTGCAACCTATCACTAAGGGTCAGTTTGTGAATGGAGACTCCATTCAAGAGACAAACCTGTCCTCTCTGAGGCTGGTCTAAGGGATGGCTGCCCTTGTCTGCGCACCACGTCAGAGTGGCGCTATGCGAGGGCTAGAGCATTGCTGCTGGTACTCCCCACTCAGGGACGGCCAACACCCACTACCTGTGCGAAGGTTCCCACGTGTCCTGCCACCACTATCTGAGACGAAGCTCTTGTTTGATTCATTTTGGCAGAGCAAGCTTTTAGTCGTGTATGGCACAGTGAAATATATTCTTCAATGCTATGTAATTTTGAGCTAACAAGAAGTCTGTTTAAGGCACGTGTCTTAGTGTGAATAGTAAAACAAAACCAAAACAAAACAAAACAACAACAAAAACAAAACAACACTTAGTCCAGCTCCAGTGTCTTTTAACATTTAGTTTCTGTCTTCAAGTAATGAGTTATTCTCCAGCCCCTGGTCTTTGGTGTCTGTGGGTACCATTCCATTCTCCATCTCAGCTTGCTGCTGTATACATTCTGTCAGCATAGCTGTGCTGGAGTTGTCTGAGTTACACATCTTTTCTGTCTCCTCCTCTTTCTTCTCTTCATCCAGAGAGTAATTCCGGAAAGTTTTGTAGATTTTCTGAACATCCTCCGGTAAGGTCTTTTTGAGATCTTTGTTTTTCCTCTTGGTGAGTTTGGAGGTGGACCCGAACTTATTGATGATGTTGTCTTCAGAAGCGCCTTGCCCATGTTTGTTGAGCTGTTCTGACCCTTTAAGGCGCAGGTTGTTGGGTCTGTTGTTGATGCTCTCCTGGGATGAGGCCTTGAAACGGCCTGTGTCCAGAGCTGCAAAGACAGAGCGCTTCTCCGGGGATAGCATGTCCAACGAGTGGGCCCTCTGGTCCAAGCCCAGCCTCCGACGCTCCATGCTTCGGATGGTGGCTGCCCGCTGCAGCTTGTCGTGGATCTCAACGCTGAGCCGCCTTCTTGTCTCCCGGAACTCGGCAGTAACATTAGCCTTCCACTCAGCTGCGTGGGCTTTGATCTCACCAACCTAGACAAGACAGAAAGGCAAGAACAAACTAAGAGAGTCTTCTCCTCTCAGGCTTCTCAGAGCCTTACAGTGTCCCGTGAGGAAGGCTGTCCCTGGGAGAGATCAGGGGGTAATGGCCTCCCAGGGAAAGAGACAAACTACTACTACATCTTCTCTGATGCTTTCTACAACCCAATTAGACACCCACATAAGGCTGGCTAGTGACTAGCTAATGGGGTACAGAAGTGCCTGAGGTTGAGAAATTATGGCTGAAGAGAGGCAGATAACATCTGGATGAGAGTTAGGATTCTGTTTCTGTGTGTGTGTCTCTCTCTGTGTGTCTATATTTCTCTGTCTCTCTTCTCTCACTGTAAAGCCCCATTTTTCCCACTTAACTGTCTCATGGAGCTTCTGTCATTGCATCATATTAAAGACCACAGTCAAGGATACAGAAATTGTGGTACATCTATACAATGAAATACTACTCAGCTATTAAAAACAAGGAAACCATTAAATTTACAGGCAAATGGATAGAACTAGAAAAGATCATCCTGAGTGAGGTAACTCAAAAATAGAAAGACAGGCATGGTATACACTCACTTAGAAGCGGACATTAGCCATATGACACAGGATCATCAGACCTAAAGAAACTAAACACTAAGGAGGACCCTCTTGAGGATGCTTAAATTTCAATCAGAATGGCAAACAGGATAGACACCAGAGGTGGTGGAAGAGAGGAAACTGGATGGGAGCTTACTATAGAGGGTCCTCTGAAAGAATTCACTCAACAGGCGATTGAAGCAGATGTTGAGACTCAGGGTCAAACTTTGGGTAGAGCACAGGAAGTCTTGATGGAAGAAGTGGGAAGAATAGAAGGACATAGAGGGGACAGGATCACCGCAAGGAGACCAACAAAGCTAAAAAATCTGAGCTCGGGGGATCCTGCATAGACTGATGTACCAACGAAGGACCGTGCAAGGAGAGGACCTAGACCCCCTGCTCGGAAGAGGCTGATTGGCATCTCAGTCTCCATGTGGATCTGTTGAGTGATGGGAGCAGGGGCTGCCTCTATCATGAGCTCAGTCAACTGCTCTTCGATCCCTCTCCCCTGGTGATGCAGCCTTGTCATGCCAGGGAGGAAGAGGATCCAGGCAGTCCTGATGAGACTTAACAAGCTATGGGCAGATGGCAATGGTAGAGAACGCCCCCTTTCAGTAGACTATGGGAAGGGGATACGGGGGGGGAAGGGGGAGGGAAGGAGGGTGGGCCTGGGAGGAATTGAGGGAGGGGGCTTCAATCTGGATATATGATGAATAAATTGGAAAAATAAAAATATAAAAAGATCACACCTAACTCATCGCTGGCTATAAATACAATGTTAAGTAACCCTTTGTTCTTTCTGCCTTTCTAATTCCTCTGTCTGAGTAAGAGGACCAATCTGACTCATGTTCCTGAATCTAAGCATTAAGGATAAGACTCAATGCTAGAGCACCTGCCTGGCATGTGCCAGGCCCCAGGGTTCAACCCTTGGGGTACTAAGAAAAAAAATTTCTGTGCCCAAGGAAATTCCCTAATTCCTGGGCAAACTGGGGTGGCAGTCACCCTCTATCGGAGCCATTCTACAACCATGTGCTAAGGGTAATGGCAGAGGAAGGACCGAAATGCCTGATAACCATATTTCCCTAGTTAAGATGGAGGAAAAGGGCATTTCCCACCAAAGCCCACTTAATACACTTCCTTAGAAGGTGAAGTTTTGCTGGAAATTCATCACCAAATCCCTCAGTTGCTTCCTTGACAGGGTACATAGAACCCATCTGCAGCCTGCTTCCTTATAGAGATGAATGACTCAAAGGTTAGCACTTAGCAAAGTTTGTGTTTTTGTTGTTCCTTCTTTTTTATTAAAGCCAATATTCATCAAGTCAGTCATCTGGGGAAATAAACCCGCAAATGGCATTGACAATGTTTTCACAAGCCAGGAACGTTGATATGTAAGCCAGGGAATTGGAGAAATGGGAGAACTCCTTCAGCACCTGTCTCTTATGTCTCTTTTTACCAAATGAATTGAGCAGATGCCCTTAAATGGAGTGTCTGTCTCTCTCTTGTCCTTCTTCAGTTTTCTTCATTTCTTTAACTGCTTTTCTCCCTACTTATTTTCCTCTATTTGCAGAAGAATTGCAATTTGAATGACCTATGTATCTTCCCTTCTGTCTTCCTTCTCTTGCCTTTGTGTGGAGTTTCAAACACACTTCTAGAAGAAATGAAAACTGCAGGTGTCTGGCAAGAGGAATAAAAATCTGAGGATCTGACAATGGGGGAACATGGGGATATATGCAGAAAGGACCCCTTGAGCCTATTTTCCCATTATTGGCCACTGTTTAATGACTTTTATCTAGCAGTGTCCAACATGCCATCCCCATGCTGACCCTGAGACCTGGAGGACAAAACAACTTCCCCAGCCTACCTCATGGGAGGTCCATGGAGCCCCCCATGCATTTGCCAACAAAGGTGACTTCATTCTTTCTGAAGCCACCATCTACCCTCACTTGTCATTTCTATTTTTTCTTTGCATTTTAAACCATTTATTTACTAAAGGATCTATAAGTAATTATGATCCACTCAACTTAGCTTCTGAATAAATGGGGAAAGAAGCCATGCAGTTCTTGCATGGAGTCAGAAACCGGCATTTCTCAATGAGGGATGCCAAGGACATTCTTGGGATTGGGAAGGGTCCTACCTCTTCTTTTGTCTTTTTGGATAAAACCCGCAGCCAGTCTCCGATCATACTGAGGACAGCTGCAAAGTAGGCAAGACCAACAAGGATCCAAAACCACACCAGCGGCTTGTACCACTCGCGGTAATTGATGCCAGCGTTTCCCCCTGAAAGCAACCAAATGACACGTTAATATGGTCATTAGTTGTTCAAAGAGCACATTGCAGCCCATGAAGGGAAATGTCATTTACATGTCCAGTTCTAGGTCATTAGGTTTGCAGGAAACAAGACACAACAGAAGTGGGAGTCTTGCTTGTAGCTTAATTTCTTTGATTCCTAGCCACTAAAAATAACCCTCAATTCTGTAACAGAAAAAAAAAATGCTACTTGGCTACCTTGAGTCATCTATTCTTACTGACAAAATTTTTTTTTACTTCACATAAAAAGGATTTCAGATGCTGGCCCACCTGTCATTTTGTTTTTCTGAGACTTCTCCGACTTTACCTTATTAACACAGATTCAGTACTGTGAGGGTTCAGCATGGTAGGGCACGATTATAATCCCATCCCTCAAGAGGTAAAGACAGGAGGATCCACTGTGAGTTCAAGGCCAGCCTGAGCTGTACAGTGAGTTCTAGGTGAGCCAGGGCTACCTAGTGAGAACTTGACTCTGAAAAGGAGAGGGGAAGGTGGGCAAGGGAAAGAAGAAGACAAAGTTGGAGAAGTGGGAGGGGGAAGATGGGGAGAACAAGAAAGAGGGAGAAGCCAGGAGAAAAAAAGGAGGGAAGAAGGGTGGAGTGGCAACAAAGAAGGGAAAGAAGGGGAGGGGAGAGGAAGGGTTGGAAGAGGAGAAGGAAGAAAGAGAGGAGAGAAAGAATGTATGTATACATATATATTCGTATGTATGTATATAAATACATGTATTGCTAAACTATGCCAAATGGTTTCAAACACTCGGAGTTATTTCCTTCTAAAGTTCACATTTACCAAGAGCTGAGTGGGTATGCAGAAGTAAAATTAGGTATAATGGCATTGCTGAGACTTTGATCCATAAAATAGTGATCTGATACTAAGTGAGGGATGGTGTTACATAATGCTCATCCAGGGGGTCAACTAGGCCAGGCAATTAGAATCACCATATCCTAGAGCTAAACCGTTCCGGTGAGGACAACTAGTTCAAGCCCATCATCTTGTAAATAAGGACTATAGTCAAAATCTATATTGCTCAGCTGCCTACTGATATTGACTCGCTGTCCCATCGATAGAAGTGGTTATTTATTCCAAATAATTGGCCTGTTTACTCCAGCCTCCATACTAGTACTGCTGAGGGCACCACTCACTCGCCCAGAGAGCAGGCAGGGTCCCTCTGAGACAACTCTATGGGTGATGTGCTAGCAATCAGGACACTGGGTGATGAAAGATTTCTAGCCTTTCCCACTGGGTCGTGGTTGTCACGGTATCTGGCACCACTGAAGCTGGGCTGGGCTCTGTGGTGTCAAAAATAGCTTGGAAGGCTTGACAGGCACTCACCGGACCTATGGCTCTGAATAAATTCACACCCAACCCTGCAATACAACCCATGAACTCTACTGCAAAAGGAATGGGGCTGGAGATGTGGCTCGCGCATTGAGAGCGCTTAGCACTCTTGCAGAGGACCAGGGGGCTGGCAACCATCTGTAACCCACAATGCAGGGGATCCGACGGCTTTTCTGACTTCCAAGAGCATCGGGCATACATATGTGCCACAAGGGCAAAGAAAACATTCACACACATAAAGAGATAAAAAAAAAAAAATTAAAAACAGCCATTTCCGGGTGGCGGGCCCCTCCTTGCTTTGGCACAGCTGCCTTCATTTTCTCCCCTGTAGCCAATATTCTTCAGAGTTGGTGCTATTTTCTTTGAGAGCTAGGCCCGTACCCTTAAGCATTCTTTTCTCCTTTGGGCTAAGTAAATATTTACTTGAGCAAGTCACTAACAAGACTTGTCACTGGGGTGCGCTAGCCAACAACACAAAGCCTCTCCCTTTGTCTAGCCTTTCCTCAGCCACAGCCAGAACTTCGGGCTCTGCGTGCGCTCCCAGTCAGAGCTGTGAAATACTGCAGTATCTTTAGGCTGGCCCAGAGCGGGACAGATGTAAAACTAAAGCAGCAATCGCTCCTGAGTGGCTCGCTCCCATCCCCAGTTGTATTTCTAGTACAGCTGATAACCCGTTCAGATCACAGTGACGATCGGCTCTTGGTCATCCACGTTGTTAGAATGGTCCCGCAACCCTCCCTATAGAGTATTGAACCTCCGTATCCACAAGTGGTCTAGGTAGATTCAACCAGGGGTGGACCAAAATATTAAAAAAAAAAAATACTATGTCAGCTAGACATATGCATGACTTTTTATTCTCGTTACTCCCTAAGTAATAGTGTGGTGACTACTTGCAAAGCGTTGACATTGCAGTAAGTGTTACACGTCGTCTACAGGCAGGTGGTTTTAACACGCACAGGAGGGTGTACATAAGTTCTATGTAAAAGTAACATGTTTTTTTGTGAGGGACTCTGAGCATCTGTTGATTTTAGTATCTACAGGGGTCCCAGGGCCAGTTCTTTAGAGGTACCAGGAGAGCTCTATTTACAAATATACTGACAAACTCCCACTGAGTGTATTTTCCAGGGAGACACTTGACAGGTCGTCCATGTGAGCTCTGAAAACCAGACGTTAGAATAGACTGGTTGAGGGGCTAGAGAAACAGCTCACCAGTTAAGAACACTCGCTGCACAATCATAAGGACCAGAGTCAGGATCCCAGCAGCCACCTAACAAGCTGAACATCCCGCTCATGCCTGTTATGCCAGCTCCAAGCCAGGGCAGAGAGCGAAAACTCACAGGGGTTTCCTGGCTTCTGGTCTAAGCAAGAAAACATGAGCCTCGTGTTTAGGGGAAGACCCTGCCTTCCAAATGGGCACTCAACATCTGCACGCGCGAGTACACACACACAATCATGCATATGCTCACAGACACACAGTGCATATAAGAACCTCGTCCGTTTCAGTCAGCATCGTGCCTGCTAAGAGACACTAGTCCATGGAGGAAGCACAGCTCTGTAACCACTAGTAAGGAAGATCCACCCAGATCTGAAGACAGTGTAGGTCACCTTCTCTGGAGTAATGAAAGACAGAGGGCCAGGGTGTACCAACAGCTCAGTCCACAGCGGTTAGTTCTATTAACTAAAAGGCAGAACCGGGCTCTGAGCTTCTCCCTCAGCTCACCGGGCCACCCCCATCCTCGGGAGCACTTTCGGACTGGAGGGTCCATCACAAGTGCTCAACTGCCCGCAGCCCTCAGGCCAGTGATGCCAGCACAGTCGCTGACAAGACACTACCCCTTGCAAACTACTCAAGGAGGCGTTTAAGGTTGGTGTGAAGCGGCTCTCGGTTTGCTCCCTCGGGTATTTATTTTAGACCAGAGTCTCACCTGACTTTCCCTAGGGAGCACCGTCTATGGTGACCGCTAAGGGATGACCTAAATAGGCTGAAGGCTGCTCCTCCTGGCTCCGTTTCTTTCCCAAGCTTGAGGACTCCATCCAGATGGACCAGTGTTTGAGGACTGGTGCAGTCTCGCACCTGGGCAGCAGAGATACTGACTCTCACTTCAGCATTAGCAGCTTGACCCGCGGTCACTGCCGACCGGTTAGCAATGTTAATGGCTCTTGAGTCTGACATTTGCCTTTGGCTAATTGATGGTCGTTATCAAATGACTCAAGAAGCCTTAATGCAGTTGAGAAGTCCAAGGTTCCGTGAGAAATTCGCTTCACCCCCACATAACGCATGCAGTGATACTGACAGCACCATGTCAGCAAACAGAGAGCCGTTTTGTTTGCCTCCTCTACAACAGCAGTTGCAATGACTTTGACTCTTTTTAAGGTTCAGGACCCAAGGCCTTAGGATTGCTGGCCAAGCACATTAGAACTGAGCTAAATTGCCAACCCCTGGCATCATGATTTTGGAAAGGACATCCAGCAGATTGTTTTCCCCACCGAGGCCCAAGTGCCTGGGGATCCCCAGGTTGCTTACCTGCCACGAAATCACCAAAGCCCACTGTGGTCAGAGTGACCACCACAAAGTAAATGGACTCCAAGGCTGTCCACCCCTCGATGTATTTAAAAATGACAGCAGGGATCGTCACAAACACGATGCAGCCAGCCAAGATGAACAGAATAGTTGAGATGACCCGAATCTTGGTCTGACTCACTTGCTTTTTCTGGGAAGAGCAAAGGAATAAGAGGGATAGGCAAGTCAGAGGCAATATCCTGGATTTGGAAGACAGGTTCCCAGAACTTTTTTTTCCAGTCACAAGCAGATATGTAGAAATCTGATCCACCTGTGGTCTCCCTGCTGGGGCATGCCTACACAGAAGTTTCCAGGCAGTCAAGCAAGACCTCAGACTTGAAGTCATGGCCTAACTTGTACTTTAAATATGACCCATGCGGTTCCATCACTACAGCCCCATTCTGGTCTGAGTCACCAGTGTCATTGTGGTTATTTTCCAAGAAGAAGTAGCTGACATTTTTTCAGTGCTACTGATCTATTAAGGAATTTGACATCTGGGGCTATTCACACATTGGCCGTGTAAAAAATGGTAGGTTAGGGGAGGGAGAAATAGAATTGGTTTGTGAGAGGTAATGGGGTCATTGCCCACATTCCCAACAAAAGGGATTTTTTTAAAAAAAAAATGGAATCATAACACACACACACACACACACACACACACACACAATCTACCATCCCTCATTTGTGGCAGGCTCCAGCCAAGCTTTAGCATGTCTCTTTACCCACATGTGTGGAAGAATGCACATTTCCCCAAATACATGCTGAGCTGAGTTAGTGCTGTGGTCATCGCATGCCTTGACTGCCTCACCGTATAGCAGACGAGTCAGAATGACAAGGTTTCTTTCTAAGAGGTCAATAGGAGATTCTCTCAACACCTACTTCACAGGACATAGCAGTTAGGTAGGAAAGTAAATGCATGAAGACAGGAAGTTACACCCACCCAAGTGAACCCCACCAGCATTGTTCGAGGTGGATGTACTGCGTCCTTGGTTGTGTCCTCTGGGGACCGTACTCCAACCTGTTATTGCCTCTCAGGGGTTGATCTAAATCTTCTCCAGACTCCGAGAACTGGTGCTAGAGAAGGTGACTCTGGCATTGTGGGACTTCAGTACCATTTAATGGCATAAATATATGAAATGGGTACTTAACACCAGATCTTACATTGCCTAGGTTGGTTTTGACAAAAGTAGACAGCTCCTGAGGACAATGTGGGAAATCCACTTCCTGTTTGTTGATCCTGGTATTTCTGAAGGCAAAGAATCTCAGAGCACAGAGGGGCCAATTGCATTTGTAGTTCTCATTTTACTGATATAAAACAGGCACCAAGAGGGGCTAAGGGACTTCCACAAAATGATGCTGGTAATGAGGGTCAGAGCCAAGATCAGAATTCTGATGTAATTAACTCTCAGCCTTGCGCTTAATGATGGAAACAGCTCTGCAGCTTATTCAACAACTGATCTGCTCAAAGAACATTGCCGAATAAATCTGACCCTCTCTGTTTAACACGAGACACTGCATGCAATCATTCTGAAGAACAGGCCATCTTGTTATTTGTTACGGGAAGACTGGAGATGAAAAGTAGTCTGTGTAAACTGGGAAAAGCTGAAGAGATTCAAAGCAAAGTTCATGCCCTCTGACTATTCAGAGGGCAGTATGCACATAGGTGAGACTGGGATAAACAATTTAATCTGTATGCCTGTCTCCTATCCTCAGGAAGGCCTTCTGAAAAAAAAATCTATCAATATTATTGCTACAGCATTTAAGTATCAATATTTTTCCTAGAAGTGTCACAGTAGAGGATGGTTACCTGAGAACCACAGGGGATACTCTGCCCATTTTATTAATTCCTGTGTTGGATGGGGAAGCATTGAGGAGGGACAACTCGGCCGCTATGACAATCCAGGAACTTGGCTAGTCTGGCTTAGTTTGTAGACGGGCACAAGAGGAGATTCTATGGCAGATTGTTCGTCTGGTTGCTAGCAAGGGCACTTTCCTACTACCATCCCCCCTTTCTACAAATCACCCTCCTCAAACGCATGATGATATGAAAGTGAATTAAATGACTGTGTGGTGCCTGCTGAGTTCTAAATTCGGATGTGAACTCAGCCCTCATCTAAGTGAGGGTGTGGATGGCAAGTAAGGGTTGCGAGTCTGTGGGAAGCGGAGACCTGCGATGGGCAGGGGTGGGTTTGCCCGATGAAGGAGAGGGCAGGCGCCAGGGCTTCTGCCCTGAAGACATCATCTATCAGAGTGTTCGCTAGCAAATAGGTCTATGAAACAAGGCATGTATCCATGGTTGATTATAAAAATAAGAAGTATAAGTAAGCCCCAAGTTAAAACAATAGCTGCTATTCTGCACATTTGTGCTTTTGCTGTCCAACAACAAACAGACGATCGCCTTCCCTGAATATCAGCTTTACCACATAAGGAGCCTCAGCCCATGTCAGGTGTTGAGCATCAGGCATTAACTCTGCAAGCACACACTACTACTATAGAAGGGCTTTTAGGGACATGGTCTAGGGACAAACTCTCTGAGACACATTCTGTCCCTAGTGTTAAACAGCTAAATGACCTCAAACTTCTCAACTTAAATGATACGGAAGAAAGAAAGCCCACCTCGTGGGAGTGGTTAGAAGATGAAAAATGTATAAAGTTGTTGGCAGGGTCTACCGAGTGCTCGGTGGTTACTTACTGGCTCCTTTGGTGTAAAGGCTTATGTCTTTTTACCATAAGCAGAGCCAGACTTAACTCTTTGCTGATGAAAAGTATCCTATCCTAGCTTAAGAGGATTTCCACTAGACTTCAGGAGGTCACCCGCTCTTTGTCCTTTCTGGACCCAATACAATCACCACATTTTTAATTTGGGAAAAATCCTCCTCTTCCTTTGATTCTTCCGGACCAACCCTAACTGAGACTCACAGGCCCTCTTACTGTATAATGGCAGGGGTTTTGGTTGGTTGGGTTGGGTTGGGTCGGGTTTTTGTTTTTTGTTTTGTTTTGTTTTGTTTTGTTTTTGCCTTTCCATTCATTTCCTCCTGTTTCTCATCAACTTTCTGAAACTGCTAAGAGTTTCTAATAGCATCTGGGATGTGAGGAATGAGCATCATAGGGAACTGAAAGGCCCAAGTCTCATCCTGTCTCAAGCCTCAAACACCCTGTCTCATGACATTTACAGAATGGAACTGTCTTTCCCTGGTGCTGATCTAGGCAAAATCACATCACCAACGGCTGTCTAGGTGGATGTGATGTTTGGGCAGAAGCGACAAGGCTATTGTGTGTTTCTGACCCAGTCTTATTTTCAGCTCCTTTAAAACAGATACTGTTAAAAAACACTAGGAAACACTGTCAGAAAAAAAACCAGCTCTTGTGTCCAGCTGAGGTTGATTGCAGGAACTCTTTTTTTTAATTTTTATTTATTATTTATTACAGTTTATTCACTTTGTAGCCCAGCTCTAGCCCCCTCCATTGTCTCCTCCCAGTCCCACCCTCCCTCCCTCTTCTGCCCCTATGCCCCTCCCTTAGTCCACTGATAGCGAGATCTTCCTCCTTTTCTATCTGATCCTAGCCTATCAGGTCTCATCAGGAGTGGCTGCATTGTCTTTCTCTGTGGCCTGGCAAGGCTGCTCCCCCATCGGGAGGAGGTGATCAAAGAGCCAGCCACTGAGTCCATGTCAGAGACAATCCCTGATCCCCTTACTCACTTGGACACTAAGCTGCTACATCTGAGCAAAGGGTCTAGGCCGTCTCCATGCATTGTCCTTGGTTGGAGTATCCATCTCTGCAGGACCCACTGGGATCAGATTTTTTTGGTTCTGTTGTTCTCCTTGTGGAGCTCCTGCCCTCTTCAGGTCTTTCTATCTCCCCCTTCTTTCATAAGATTCCCTGCACTCTGCCCAAATTTAGCTATGAGTCTCAGCAGCTGCCTCCTGGGTAGAGTCTTTCAGAGGCCCTCAGTGGTATGGTTCCTGTCCTCTTCCCTGTCTTCTCCCACTTCCGATGTCTATCCTGTTTGTCCTTCTGAATGAGGACTAACCATCTTCCCTAGGGTCCTCCTTGTTGTTTAGGATTATAGATTTTACTATGTTTATCCAATATTATATGTCTAATATCCACTTATAAGTGAGCATATACCATGTGTGTCTTTCTGCTTCTGGGATACCTCACTCAGGATGATCTTTTCTAGTTCCCATCATTTGCCTTTAAATTGCATGATTTCCTTGTTCTTAATTGCGGAGCAGTATTCCATTGTGTAAATGTAACACAATTTCTGGATCCATCCCTCCACTGAGGGACACATCTCCCTGTCTGGGCAGTTCTGCTAAGGGAGATGTAAGCCTCATACGCAGGAGGAAGGAACTGGCTCAGAGAGGGTGTGTGCATGCAGCTCTGTTTACCTATTTCAGACATGAGAACAGGCCACATGTCCAGTTACTGTGAACACAATCCCCTGCTTGCTTTTGTTTATGCAAACAATATTATTTTAGAAAGCTTGCAGATATTTTTGTTCATTCCTTGGTTATTTTTTTTTTTGTTCAATTTTTTCACTCCTTCCTAATAATGAGTTTTTCTCCAATTTCTATGTGATTTCTTAGGATTCTGACATGCACTATCCAGATTATTTTGTTTGCCTTAGGAATGTTTTTAGTGTGTGTTTTCATCCAGGACATTGGAGATTTTATTAAAACATATTACAATAAAGATAACTAGGAACATGGGGCTAGATCTTCAGTGGTGTAGTTGAGTTCTATTGAGATGTAAACATGTCGCTATGGTACTACAATTGAACTGAGAATAATTTATCCCAGTGGAAAGATAATGGGCACTATCCTGCTAAATTGGGTTAAATTTTATTTTCTATTTTTTTTCGCCAAGAACTCTTCTAAAAGGTCTTCTTACAACTAATAGTTTCAACATTGTAACAAATAGCCACAAAGCATCAACAACTCTAGAAAGTTAAGGCTTTTGAACACCATAATCTCCATGGCAGAGACACTCCAGACACTTGTTAGTGAGAGCATGTAGAGAAATCTTCATGGAGACCACATATATACAAATGGACTCTTTGTTTATCAATATATCTTTATATGTATTTATAGAGATACAGATATCCAATATACAGATATAGATATATGATGAGTTACAACCAGCCTG